TAAGATGGGACTTTGAAGGTTGGACACTAGAGGGCACCAGAAGGAAATAAATGTTATAATTAAAGGGGAAGAATATTTAAACTCAATCTGATAATGCAGAATGGAGCAAAATCTTTTAACAATGGATGCACTGAGAGAGAATTCTTCCCATGGGGAAACTATCCATGTTTTTGCATTCAGAAGAAAAACAACATGATAAGATGGGACTTTGAAGGTTGGACACTAGAGGGCACCAGAAGGAAATAAATGTTATAATTAAAGGGGAAGAATATTTAAACTCAATCTGATAATGCAGAATGGAGCAAAATCTTTTAACAATGGATGCACTGAGAGATATTTGTGAACAATGGACTCAGAAGTTAGTTTAAAGATCTCTGCCATTATTGATAGACTAAATGATGCTACGGAAGAGGTACAAGTTTTACTGGACAAGACTGAAATTGATTTAAATGTGGACTTAAAAATGACAGGCTACAAGGATATGGAAAATGATGAAATATTGAATATGCAGATGAAACCAGCTGATGTTTTAAAAACTAAAAAGGACATACAAATAATAGACCAGAAGAGTGTCTTGGATAACCTTTCTATATTGGATTTACAAAAGGGATTTGTTACTGTTATCAGCAATTTTGTGAGAAGAGTCAAAGAGAAAATGAAAAGAAACCAAGTGTTTGGATACTACTTGAAGGGACTAATGATTAAAATTGTTTGGAGCAAAGGGAAGGAATATAAAGTTGGTTTATTTGACCAAAGTTAAAATAGATAGGTTGTTATTTCTAGAAATTTTTAATGGATTTTTTCTGACCAGGATTGGATAATGATGTTTTAAGATTTTGTTTCTAGATAAGAGTTATATGGGAAAGAGTTTATTTGTTGTATTTTAAATTTATCTGATTAAGGTTAAAATAGTTAATGTTGTCATCTCTGGTAACTTTTATTGGATTTTTATTGACTAGATTTGAATTATGAGGCTTGGGGGGATTTGTTTAATGATAGAAAGTGAGATATAAACATAAAAGGAAAGAATTAAAGTGGGTTTCTTAGATCAGATTTATAATAGATAGGTTATTTCTAGCAACCCTTAATGGACTTTTGCTGATTAAAATGGATGATGAGGTTTTAAAGATTTGTTTATAGAGAATGAGGTGACATATGGATGAAGAGATTGTTGTATTTTAAGATGTGGTGATAAAGTTGTTTTTTCATGCTGGGGCAAAGGGGGAAGTTACTTTTTTTTCTTTTTCATTTTTTTTTCTTTTTCTTTTTTATACTTTGTATTAGTTTTATCTGTACAATGCAATTTTTAATAAAATTATTACCCCCAAAAAAGTCTCATGACAGTAGCTATGCAACTCTCTGATAAAGGTACATACGTGCATCTTGTTCTACGTACACTTTTGCTTCAAGGACAAAGTTAGATTTGACAGCACCAAGCAATAAGCAATTGTGTGCCTAGTTTATTTTGACTTTAAGTGTAAACAGCAGATGAAACTCCTCAACACAAATTGCAGATTCATTTGGAGGTTATCAATAAGGCTGTGGGAAGCTTCAGTTTGGAGACCTCATCAAAATGGTGTGCTCAAATCCATCCAAAGGTTTGATGGCCCTTTCAAATCAATCTGCAAAATTAAATGAATGTTTTGAAACAAATCACAAATTTGTGTCAGCTCTTGGGTAATTAGCATGGTGTGCACTCCTTTGATTACCCATCCTCCACAGTTTCTATCAGGTCCAAGGAGCCTATACATCATCATCATCTTCTTTTTTTTTTCACTGGAAGGAATGCTCTGATTTATGTCAGAAATCTAATCCAGGTTTGTACTGCAATAGGTTGGGAAAAGGGTAAAGGTCTCCATGGATGTGAGCTAGGAGACCATACTTGCTATTTATATTTAAAAAATAATTCACACAATTGCTAATTACACGAATAGAGTCTATTTAGATTATTTACTCTCATGTGTACATTACATCTTTAGATGTATACTTGAGAAAGTAATGTGTACTGTACACCACTGCTTTAAGGAATCGATTTGTTAAAGTCACTGCAACTCTTAAAGCAGCTATATCTTTTTCCCAAGCTTGTACAGAAGACAGGAAAAAGCCAGGGTGGTTTAATGAACAACAGAGAGATGCTGTGCTGACACAGGGTCCAAAGGGCTTCCTCTGAATTATATGGAAAACATGCACAGCTTGCTCCAAAAATACCACCTGATCTAACGCTCTTTTTCCAGGGTTGCCCGTCAGATGTATCTAGGAGGTCTATGCAGCAGAGACATGGAGGCAGGTAAAGTCTGCCTCTCCCAGCAACTGCAGCACAGAAATATCTTACCTCTAAAATGGAGGTTTTTAATCACCATAACCTGTAATTATATTACTCCTGAGAACCATTGACACAGGAGGATTCCTGAGCTCATTGAACATCAGTGGCCAACTTCTTGGGAATTGAGGACCTCGCCTAATCTGAATCACAGGAGGTGGGACAAGAATGCAAAATGGACAGGGGCAATATTTTCTGGGTGTTTCAGACCACCACAAATAGAGCTGCAAGGGATATGGACAACAAACACTTAGTTGCAGCCCAAATCTGGTAGCCCTACAACTGAATTCCCCAATCAGATCTTCCCACTTTCAGTATGCATTACCCACATGAAATCTGACCACGAACAAGCTGAATGTGTAGATGGAACTTGTGTCTGTCAATTTCAACTGTATGTTCCGTTTTCCCAATCCAGTCCCAATTTTACTGGATTCTTTGAGTTCTCATGGCAAGTAAGCTATAGAAGTCTTTCCATGCACCTTCTTTTTCCCACTTCCTCAAGGCCAGACTATGAAAAATATTGATGTCCTACATGGAAGAGCACATGCAGAGTAATTGTAGCTGGCCAAGTTATTTTGCATAAGAAACTCCACAAGCTTCTCTTTCCTGGTAGTAAATATATAATAAAGCAAATGACTCACAATCTACTGCCCCTTCATGACAACCAGAACCAGCTTTCTGAGATAATCACTTCCCTCTGCCTAATGGTAGGGCTGGCACCAGAATCTTCCCTGCCCCAGCTGGAGGTAGAACTGCTTGGTCATTATAGGATGAATGCAGGTTGCCATCTAAGCTACGTCATTCATAGGTCAGCACCGTAAACACTTCACAGAAAAAATACCAAGTTTGCTGGGAAAAAAAAGTTTTATGTCAATTTCTATGGTTTCTGTGAATTGCACATAGAAAACTCTGCATGTGAAGCTGTCACAGGATCCTTCACCTTCAGAAGACGGAACATCTCTATCCACTCATCTCATTTCTGGGACTGCTAATTAGCAAACCTTTAGCATCCATAGTTTCTTTAATTCAGCCATTCAGCTATCACAAAACATGATTCAAAATTCCATAGAAGTCAATGGATTTATATCTAGCATCTTTTGTTTTAAGATGAACCATATGGTATACAAACATACACAAAGAGAAACTGGGTGTTTATTGAAAAAAAAATCAAAGCTCATCCTTTATATATCAGAAGTCCTTAATTAAGGCATTTCCAGATTGGGATGAGAAAGACTCTTGTTTGAAACTCTGAAAACCTATTTTGATGTGAGTCTATTTAGACAATAGTGACTTAGTTGGACCAGTACAAAGCCATTTCACACATTCTGGGGATTATGGAGCCTATGTGAATATAGCCAGCCTGGCTCTGTTGTTTGTTTTCAGCAGCAGATGGCAGCCTCCAGGCAACCTTGGCTGATCTCAAACAAATGCGGGAACTTGGATCTGTTAGTTCTTGGATAGGAAGCCATCAGGAAATCTCAGGCTTGTAGACTAGCCTGGGAAGTCAACAAGAACCTTGAAGAAGGCAATGGGAAACCATCTCAAGGGAACCTTTAAAATACACCTACTGTACATGAAGATGCCCAGTGCTGAGGGAAGGACTGGCATATTGAAGAAACATTCCCTCCAACATACAGAATGCAAGATGAAGTCATCTCCTATAAAAAATCTCTCTTTAAGGATTTGCTGCAGTTCCACCCCCACTGCAATACACAGAGTTTCTGGACCAAGCTATTTGCTTGCTCAAAGGCGGGGTCTTTTTCACAGGGGCATCTGGCAGCATCTCTTCCCCCATGTGGAAGAATATTTGGGCTATTTTATTTCTTAATGGTGTTGGCATTCTTATGTAAGCAGATTTCACCTCCAGTTTACAAAATGTATGCCTAGGTTTTTGCTATTTGCGTGGTTCATTCATGCATCTAGGCCGGCCTTTCTCAGCTTGGACACTCTCACTGTTTTGGACTACAAATCCCATTAACTCTCAGTGAATGTAGACACAAATGTAGCTTGGAGAATCATATGACCTAGTCTATGCATCTCCAGAGCACCAGATCAGGCTTCAGTGATCTACAAAAGTGGTCAGACAAACCAGCATTGGCCTCAACTTAGAATGATCTTCTGCACAACTTATCCCAAAGAAGACTGGCCAAAATGAACAACAAGAAAGAGTGTCTCCTATTTGTTGGCAATGATTCAACGAAACATAGTCCTTATTCAGTTCAGAACTTCTTACAGTTCTCCTCTAAAGGGATTTATACTGGAAAGGAGTCCCAGGGCCTCCTTGAAACTATTCAGAAGGTAGAGGTCCAAAGGACCTTCAACAAAGTGAGCAATAGGTTGATTTGATCATGTCATTCTTTCTCTTTTGTTTGTTTACCATTGAGCATCTTTGTCTAGCAATCGCTTACTACAGCTTTGGACCCTGCATCAGGTGGGTGGGGCTTTCTTCTAGCCCAGCTTGCAGCTCAGAGCTCCGATCGCCCCTTAGCGAGAAAGAAATGGGGGCGGCGCTGGGTCTACTTGTTTCTCGCTTGTCTCCCCAAGACGCCGCCTCGGCGATCGCCTTTTAAACCTGCTCGGTCAGCCTCAGCAACGCTCAAGCCTTGGATTTGG